GATGGTAAGGCAATGCTTGTGTTCCTTATCGCCACAGTAAGATGGTAAGGCAATGCTTGTGTTCCTTATCGCCACAGTAAGATGGTAAGGCAATGCTTGTGTTCCTTATCGCCACAGTAAGATGGTAGGGTCAAATGGTCAACTGTACAGCAAGATGGTAGGGTCAAATGGTCAACTGTACAGCAAGATGGTAGGGTCAAATGGTCAACTGTACAGTAAGATGATAGGGTCAAATGGTCAACTGTTATTGTTTGTCACCACAGTAAGATGGTAGGGTCAAATGGTCAACTGTTATTGTTTGTCACCACAGTAAGATGGTAGGGTCAAATGGTCAACTGTTGTTGTTTGTTTTTATGAAGTAAAGAGAATTGATGGACATAGGCTTTCTTCTGACCATAAACAAAAACGACTTTTTTCCCCCAAGTGTACCTGAAGTGCCAGCTAATCAGTCTATAGATCTTTTTTACCTTTCTTATTTTAAAGGAGGAAATATGCAAAAATCAAATGTTACCAGATACATTTTCTGATCTCCAATAATCTACCCTGTGGAGGAAGTTTTGATTCGAAAATTTTTCTTTGTTTTGACTAAATTCTGTGATCTTTAACTCTTGCACGTCATAAACCTATTGCTGCTTTATTACTATTGCTGCTTTGTTACTATTGCTGCCTTATTACTATTGCTGCTTTATTACTATTGCTGCTTTATTACTATTGCTGCTTTGTTACTATTGCTGCTTTGTTACTATTGATGCTTTGTTACTATTGATGCTTGTTACTATTGATGCTTTGTTGTTGTTTTGTTGTTGCTGTTGCTGTTTTGTTGTTGCTGTTGCTGCTTTGTTGCTACTATTGCTGCTTTCCTGCATCAAGTTTTGTTTGAAATGTTTGTAAATGTTAGCATTTTTTGCGTAAGAAAGATAGGCTTCTAGCCACAGGCACATATTAGACCCTCCAAGTTGTGAGAATAGAGTGAGGATTTGACATACGAGAAGACAGTTGTAGAGCAGGCAGTCAGATGTTTCTGATTAATGAGGCCAACAATACTGCAGCATCTAGCCAGTAGAGGTGTCAACAACTACAGTGAAAGCATCTAGCCAGTAGAGGTACCAACAACTAGAGTTAAAGATCTGACACATTCATTTCAGATCCCCGTAACCAGCGCACCCCCCTAGGCACCCCCCTCACCCTCCTGTTGGTCAGAGTCGCCCTGGGGAATGTGTTTCACGTGGATCGCAGCCACCCAAGTCTTCAGTCACGCCGTAAGTTTTTTCTCCCTTCTGCAAACGTCAGTTTGTTGGACAACCTGATTGTTTTTGTAATGTGTTTTTTTTAGGGGGGTAAGTGTTTTACGGCGCTCGCAACTGCATATGGTCATATGAGCGCGCAGGACACATTAAATATAACATTTTTCAATTGGTAGGAAATTTGGAATTTTGCCAGTGTGGCGGCTGAAGCCTACTCTTATCGATTTTAGACCACCGAGGGATCTTTAACATGCGCAACTTGCACACGGGCCC